CAATTGTACTCTCTCCTGTAGTGGTTCATTGAACCACAATACCGATAAGTGATTAATAAAAGTCAAAAGACCAAAGAAGTCACTTTAAAAAAAAAACAAAAAAAAAAAATTTAAATTAGGCTTGAAAATATCGTTTATAACAAATTTTGCAAGGAAAGTTTTTTTATTAGTGCGAAGAAGGCGGTTTCATAGACTAAATTTTGAGTTATGCGCGATTTTTGGCAAAACGAACGTTTGTTTTGCAATTTGAAATTTGATTGGCTAGTTAGGACAATAACCCTGTTCTGACTAGGTTAGTTACATATAAATTGTACTGTAAAAACTAAAGTAGACAGACTACTTAACATCCCTACGTATTATTTGGTTAGCCTACAATGTAATAATTTAATTTTGGCTTCGAACATATACCAATTCTTCTTAGCCTAGTTATAACAAAACTTTAACAACAAATTACTACCTTGTTTTGTAAATTTTTATAGTTTAGCTAATAAAAATTTTTACAATCTAATAATCTAATAAACGACTTAAATATTTAAGCATTTAAATTGGGGATGCGATCCAGTGTTGTTGCCTTTAATTTTATAACAAAATTAATATAAAATTGTAAGCAATATTTCGGATATCCGTATTAAATTTTTAAATTTGAAAACGGATAACGGATTGCATCTCTAATTTGAAAATTTACAGAGATAAATTGGAATTTGAAAGTTTATCATTAATTTTTCGCTATTAATATTCGCTGTGAATTGAATAAAATATTCAATTAAAAATGACAGATTTAATATAATTCACATAGAATAAGTTCTTTGCTTTAATTTTTTTTTAAATAATAAGCTCATTACAAATATAACTATGTTGGCTAGATAATTAGAATACATTATTATCCATTAGTTAGAAAGTTCTTGAATTTTTTCTTCTAATTTAGTAGCATTAGCACCGATGACATCATCACAACGTTTACAATTCTTGAAAAACCGAAAAGTGGGAAGAGATGTGATACTTTGTTGTCCGGCGATTTCCTATATGCAAAAAAAAAATATCAAATTAATATTAAATATGATGGTAAAGAATTATTATTGTATCCGTCATTTGAATGATAGGTTATGTAAATGCTGGATCATGTGAAGCGAGATGGAATATCTCAAAGTTTATATGATAGATCCAAGATATTTAATAATTACCGATTGGTCGTCAGTGTTAACTTTAAGGAATTTAACATTTGTGTATTTTGTTGAAAATTCTTCGAATTTTGGAGCAATAAATTTGCACGGACCACACCACTCAGCCCAAAAATCAACTACCACCTTTTGTAACAAAATTATTAATAAATTAATAAATTCAATTAAACTTTAATTGTTATTACATACCAGCTGGTCCCCAGCTTCTTCTAATTGTGCATTAAATTCGTCAAGACTCTTTATAGTAATGTAAGCCATTTTTGAGAACACTTTTTGGTTTGAGATGAAGATAGCGATGATTAAAAACTATTCTTATTTATATTAAAAAAAAAGGTTCACACACACAACAAATTTTTGGAAAAGAATATGTCAATGAATAATATACATTACGTAAATAGATAATCAAATCCTTAATTAGATAATGATAGTATGTAGGCATAAAATGACTGATTTGTCATCAGTGCAAATAATGACGCCAAATAAAAAAAAAACCTGCGATTCACAAGTTTTCACCTTACGGAATTCAATATCCGATTGTGGTTAGCCATTAGTGTTAACGTTAAAAGCTAAATAACACCATCGGACTTTGAAATTTCGTAAGGTTTCTTATTATATCGAACAAAAACCTTTCTATGGGTACGTTCGTTAAAATAATGACGTTATTGCTCAATTGAATAAATAAATTTTTATTGAAATGAAATAAATTTTTCTTATTGAAATGAATAAATTTGTCTTATTAATAAAGAGTCATCAAAAACGAACATTCAACAACCTTTTAAAGTTAATGTCTCACGAAACAATAAAGCTTTTATTTGGGATGCTGAAAGTGGGTGTTGATCGAAGAACTTTACCTTAAATTAGAAAAATGTCCGAATTAACAATTATCCGTTTTTTTTTTTTTTGACGTAAAGCCGTCCATGCGTTACGCAAAGATCATCGCATAGTCGGCTCATTTGTCGGCAGTCTTCCTCGATATCCATTACAAAATCAATTTCTCGGGTTACCCCTCTCCTTAATGCCCGAAGAAGTGACTTTACTTTTATCCAAAGGTTTTTTTCTATTTTTTAAAATAGCGTCAACACTGTTTAATATTATAGCTAAAGTTTTTCCGTAATAGGAATTATTGTTTTAGTTGATGATGAAAAAAGTCATTTAGTACCTACAAAATCACAAATTGAAGAATTTGAAAAAAATAAATCGGAAAATGAGAATCAACAACTACAAGATTATTTACGTTTTATACAAGAGAAGAGAGCTAAATTTCGATCTTTAAATAAAAATAAATTTAAAGAAAAAGATGCAAAAGAGACAGACAATATCCTTGATAACGATCTTAACGATTCATCTTCCCAACAATTTCGACCCGAATCACAAGATGAACATGAAACTTCACTGATTAAAGCTTTTGCACCAACTATTACTATTAAAACATCATCAACATCATTTGAATGGTACAATGATAATGATTATTGTTTTAACTCCCTAGAAACAGCTAGACTGGCTGGGTTGTGGATATGGCCATCGACACCCAAAGAGGAATATAAATTTAAAGTTTATTGTGATCTTTGGAATCGTGGATATTTTTTAACGAGTGGTATCAAATTTGGTGGTGATTATTTATTATATCCAGGTAATAAAAATGTATTTCGTTAACATCATTATTGTCATTATTGCGTTCTAATTTTTATGTTTACGTTGATGTAGGCGATCCTTTTCGCTATCATAGCCATTTTATTGCAACGATTTTTGATATAAATAATGAGATTACACCAATGGACATCATTACATTTGGTCGTTTAGGAACAGCTGTTAAAAAATCATATATGTTATGTTCATGGGATATGAATCAGGATAAAGCAGTGTACGTTTGTATAGAATGGGCTGGATTTTAAATCTTATCATTTGAACCTTTTATGCTTTCATTTTCCAAAAGTCTCAGATCGTTTTTGAAAATTTGAATTCATGCATTGTATCCTGAAGCAAATTCTGGTCGCAAATATATATGTATTGAACAGTCAATATCAAATTGATAACCATTAAAGTCTCTGTTATTTGATATAAATATTAACAACTAGTGTAAACTTTCGATCTAATAAAGCCTCTGGCGTCATACGTATAAGACGTGACTCTATGAATATCATACTATTTCGAGATTTAAAATTTTGGCCCGAATTAAACTTAATCTGGTCTAAATCAAGCTTACAGCTGTTTTCATAAATTCTGTAAAATCTGGCAAAAATTGACTGACCAATATTTGCTGATTCGATAAGTATTGATAAACTTTTGATTTGGATTTCATCCGAATTAAAACTTATCGAATAGGCACCCAAAAAAGTTTCAAAAATCATGTGATATTGTCAAATCATCATGCTTAGGATCATTAAATATTAACATAATTGTAGTAAGTAATTTTTTTTCTTCGATACTTTAAAGTGAAAAGCGATTGTTAAAAGCATAAAATCCAATAAACACACTATTCTAAAAATATACGTTGATTGCCGTAACCAAATTTTCACGAAAAAAGAATGAAATTCGAAATAAAATTATAAGAACTAATCAAGAAAATGTAGATTTTATTTTTAATGCTCTTCCGAAAGGCTATAACGCTGATTATTTATTTGAGTAAAAGGTTTTTATAATTCCGAGTCCAGGACGCAGCAACAAAAAATTATTGAAGAAAATATAATGAACCCAAATAATAACAAATGGCTAGATCGTATTAATAAAAATTTTGAACCATTGCATAAACTGAAGGATTATACACATTTTAAAAGGTAATATAATATTCCAAATACTTAGAAAAACCATTAACTATAATACTTTCTGGTTGCATGTTTATTGAGTTATTCGAAATAAATAAAATGATTAATTTATTACTTATCGATATTATTTTGTTAGTCTGAATTTTTGTTTGTGAAGTTACATAATTTTTGGTGCTCGATATATTAGTCATGTGATGTTCGAAGCATTTTTGGATGGCGATTTTATCCTGGTCCAAATATTCGGCCGGTCAATTTTTGTCAGATTTTATGAAAACAGCTGTAATTCGGGCCAAAATGTTAAACTACACCCCGGCACGTTATTTCGAGATTTCACTGACCAATCAAACATCAAAAAAAGCTCTTACTATATTTGTCATTTAGAAGGGTTTATACGTATTTTTGGCGGCATGTATACGTAATATCCACTTTCCAAATATCGATATTTGGCATTATTTAATATGATTCAGACACGGAACCGATATTTTTAATTTCATGACACAAAGCTATATATTAACAAAGATGGTTAAAGTTTTAACTTTATGCTAATTTTGGCCTAAATTATAAATTTATATTGCTCAAATATTTGCAAAATTTCTTTCATCACATGCAAAATCCAAATTTAATCAATCTAATCTTGTGCCGCACATGTCTATTCTACCATAAAATCTCGGTACGACGATAACGATAACGATAGGGGAAATGGGCGTTATTTCGAAATTCGGTTCCTTTAAAAATAGTAATAACCTGGGTCAGAAAATTTGCTTTATTGAAATACCGTAAATCATTTTGAGTTATATTATGCCAAGAGAGTTTACTTGCAGTGTAGGTGGCGAAATTCGGCTGGTTATACTACATCATGCGATAATATTCAATATTGTATCTAGTAGAAAATATAGCTAACAAATGGTTTTGTACCTTTCAATTCTTTATGATCATTTTAATTATTAAGATTTAACGAAAAATTACCAATTTGTCTCACAATTCTAATACCGTTTTTATATTTACCCATTTTGACTTGACAATTACAATGGCAAATTCGTTATATTATTTCATTGCAGATTTTTTGATACGAATGCATATTAATATCTTATTTTCATCCTCAAATTATGTATAAAGTCAACAACAAAAAAAATGTTTTTGTTTACCGTTATGTACGTACGTACTAATTTTTGATAAAATTCACCAAAATTAGTTAAATGATTCGCGCTTAAAGTTTAGACAATAAGAAAACATTTGCTTGCCATTCCCCCACCTTTTTAACTACACTTAGTTAAGATAGTCAAGTTTGATTCAATTTAAAATTAAAATAAAACAGTGGGGCGGAAAAGAAAATCCGATAATATGTATGTATGTACGTATACGTGCCATAATTTTATTTTTTATTTTTTTACTTTTTTTAAAAGCAACCTTTTTGTCTTATATTTTTATTAGTTATTATCGTTATATATAAGTACATAAATTCTTATTTACATGTTATACAAATTACTATATAATATCTATATGCGACTTAGGACTACTTTATCCTCGAGGTATACTTAACCTAGACTGTTAACCCCAAAATTATATACATTAGGATTTTTGTGCTTCAACCTATTTTTTCTATTATGTATCCTTAATATTACTTCCATTTACCAAGATCTAGAAGCATTTGTAATTCTCACATTAGTGTTTCTAGGTTAAATTTAGATTCAGATTCAGGTTCAATTGAATCTGAACTAACCTTCAAATTTTGCTAATCTTTGAACCTGAACCTAAACTGAACCTTAAATTTATAAATCTGAACTAATCTTGAACTTAAATTTTGGATTTAGTTTAAGTTTAGTTCAAGTTCATAAACATGCTCGGATTTTTTTTTAATATAAATGGTAAGGTTATGCCTTTATCTTTAACATATTTAGATTAATAATATATATATATATTTATATATAAAACAAAATTATAAAAGAAAATATGTGCTTGTTACTAGTAGTAACAGTTTTAAATATATAATTGATTTTTTTTATTATTAACATATTGGATTAGTATTACAATTATTTTTATAAAGATAAGAGTACAGCTAGTCATATGTATAACTTTTAATTGCCTATTTAAGTAGTTCATTTTAGGGTTCTACATTAGATGTCATAATTATAACTTATTAGAAAATTATTTATTTAAATTTTCTAATTATCTATCTTGTTAATCATTTAACTACCATTATATCTTCTATATATACTTAACTAGTATCTTATTCAAGCAGTATAGTGCCTTCTCTTTTTGTATTAGTTTTCAGTTTATTACACATTTTAGAGTAATATTTGTCAGTAAGACTTAGGATTTCTTTTTGTTAACTATTTATTTACTTTACAAATTATTAATAAAGGTTTGTCTTTATAGAGTTTATCTATATTTCAGTACCTACTTTACAACATATTCTTAGTACTTTAATATATTTTTATTTTATTTTTAGATTTTTAATTTAAATAATTTAAAAGAACTGTAACTTATTTCTAGTATATTGAATCTAGTTTAATAACTTTTTTCTTTGGTTTAATCTAGTAGTTTAGTTATGGCATCTTTTATCTAGAGTTTCTTGCCTATCTGATTTTTTATATTAGTATATGTTTCCTTAATTTAGTTTTTATAATAGTACTGTTAAAAATCTGTATTACCTTTTTATTCAGGTCTTCTTAAGTAGATTTTAGTTTTTTTTTAATTCTACAAATTTATATAATTACAAATACTTATTTTAGATTTACACTGCTTAGTATTAGTTTGCATCTTTTTATATAATTATAATTATACATATGTCCTATGACTTGCTAGTTATGCTAGTATAATTATTGTTACAGATATCTTATTTTAACTAATTAACTAAATACTGTTGTTATAATATTGTTTATATATTATATAGTTAATTATTTAAATTTTTATTATTAATAATGTTTAGACTTATAACCTACTACTTAGAACATTGACAGTTTATTCATATTATTAAGTCATCACACTTTAATTGTCTGAAGCATAGTAAAGAACTTACATTTTCAAAAATATATATATCATATAATAATCATATATACTAGAAATCATTAGCAAAATTTGGTATCTCTTATATAGATTATTGTCTATTTGTCTGACTATGTGATTAATTAATATAAAATTAAAATATTTGATTGATTATTACAAATTAATTTCTGCTTCAAACTTATAACAGTTTCTGTTTTTCTAATATATAATTAATTAATTAAATTATATAATATAAAAATCAAAATAATAATAATATGTCAAAGTTATTAACATTAAAATTAAAAATACAAATAAAATTTAAATAAAATATAATACATAGTAAAATTATATAAAATTTTTTTTATTAGAATATAAAAAGTAGTTTTATAAGCATAATTTTAAGTTATTTTAATTTTTTAAAATATTATAATTGTTATTATTTTTTTTATATTATATTAAATTTTGAATCTAATTAGTACAAAACTTTTATTACTAGTAATAAATAAATTTACTTATAAAGTTAAATTCTATAACTCAATAATTAAGCTGCTAACTTTTTATAAATAAAATTAATAATTTAAATTAAGCTAAAGACAAAAAATCTAAAGATTATAAACTTTGTAATCTAAAATAAAAGCCAAATTAAATGTAAAGTATTATAAAAAATTTTAGAATAAAGTACAAAAATAGATTAAGAATTTTTGAAAAAAATTGATTTTACAAAAAAAAACATTATATGTAGCAACAATATTACAAAAAATTCTGTTATATAAAGTGTTATACAAATAAGTTTTTTAAAAAATAAAACAGTATCAATATTTTTGCATCTAACTTGCAAAGTATTTAATTAAAAAAATAATAACAAATGTATCTAAAACTAAAGTAGTAAATAAAGTAATATATGTAAAAAAAATCTATATAAAAAAATTAGTCTAATTATAATTAGAACATCTTAGACAAGTAATATAAAAATCATATTTGTATATTTGTTAAAAAAACTTTTTTGGAAACATAATAATATAGTAAAGTAGTTATGTTGTCAACTTCTAAATGGCAGAGCTAGAGTTTAAATCTCAACATTGATAAAAATTTAAAATTCTTTCTGTATTATAGTTAACTGTCTTCTGCTATTAGTTAGGATTAAA